ACTACAGAGCTTCCGCTAGAATAGCCCAGCTTACCATCCACTGTGACCTTTGTGCCAGGCTCAAGTACACCCTCGTGGGAACTAGAGCCAGTTACGCTGGGAGCAAGAGGACTACTTGGGGAAGCAGATCCAGCAGATGCTGCACCAGTGCTGTTATCAAATAATGAAACAATAGCCCAGGCAAAGGATTCTCTGTAAGGCATGATTTGAGACCACACCTGCAGTTTTTGCTTTTCCCTTTCATTCAAATGCACCTGTAGGAGAAGTTTATACAATCAGAGAGTATTAGTTCAGACAATGAAACAAGTACTTAAAGGATCAGGACTATGGATAAAACTGCCTTACCAGCTAAACACATGCATTAAGCTATATTTCTCAACATTTGGTGGAACGAAAGCAGAATGTCCTCTTTCTTTCAATAAAGTTAAACATTTAATTCTCCAAAGATAACTCATGTCACTCACCCAATTTTGGAAGAACAATTGTAGAAGAAGGGTTTGATATTAGCACCAGGAATTATAGGGTCTAAATACACCACCAATGTATTTGAAAGAAAATATCAAGAGATATATGTATCACTAAAGAGTAAAACATAATTTTTTTTTTTTTTGGGATAAGAAACAATATATTTAAGGAGACAACAAGAGGAGAAGACATCCTAGGGGTAGAGGGTGGAGGTCACCCCTCCCAAACACTAAACAAGAAGAGCTTTCCTTCCAATCATTAATAATCATAGTGAGGCTAATAGATTTCCTTTTTTTTTTCCTTTTGTGGGTAAAGATAAATTATGAAGACCAATAGATTAAGCCTTCATAAACTAAAAACAAAGTAGCGTACAATAACCATGCAAGATTTACCCCAAAAAATGTTCCAACTACATTATTGATTATAGGCTCAAAATAAGAAGAGTTTATGGAGATTACTCAAACAAAATAATAGAGAAACATATACGTTTAGACATACTGGTTCTTTACGTGAATACACAGAAGCAGTAACCCCTCCTTCTTCTGTGGCATGTTTCTCTAACTGGATAAAAAGACAGACCGATGCTGATGGAGCCTCCAAAAAGAAAATTCCACGCGGTTCAAGTGATGTTTTAGGCTGAAACAGTAATGGACAAAGAAATTATATTCTACATTCATTAAACAAAAATCATGGGAGATGTAAATTAAATTAGGATGGGGGAAAACAGGGGAAGTAGCTTACATCCTGCATTTCTTTAGGTACAATGCGAAAATGGAAATCCTCAGACAATTTTTCTCTTCTCTCCCTATTATACAAGCAAATTGTACCATAAAATGGCTCTTTGGAAGGGGTTGAAAGTGAAGGGTGAAGAGAGAAGAGAGAAAATATATCCAAGTCAGCAATCATAAAATGAGTTGAAGTTTACCAAATAAAAAATAAAGAAGAAGAAGCATGAACCCCATAAAGATATAAAACCATTCAAAAAACGCTTACCAACCAACCCCGCTTGAAGGGATAGGGATAGAACTTTCACAGAAATCTTCAAGCCACTGACATGATTCACAGGAGGAACAAAAAATAAATGGTGGTCTAGACTTATCATAGGAAAACAAAACAAAAGGTAGTAAATTAGTTAAAAAAAAATAGAATTCTGCATATGATTTTATTACTGCCATACTGTGTTACGGGAGTTTCTGGTATCCTCTGGCCAAATATCATTGACCGTTCATTTTCCCAATCAAAGGCTGGCTCATAAGCTGGAAGAGGAGAAGCACCAAACTGCTGCAAAAATATTAGAACTACATTATACTTGTTTCATGTAAAAATGAAAAATATAGTGGGATAAATACAACAATCAGTGTAATGTCAGATGATGTTAGGTTCATTCTGTCATCATCTTGATAGACTAAAAGTCTAAAATCAAAGCAATTGAACCTTTGGAACATTTGATAATAATGGATCATATGTTGTAGCCTCTGGCCTTCCAGAGGTACTAGGTACATCATCCTCTGCAGTATCTTCGGGCTTTGTGCGCCTGGCATAAGTGAGACGCATTTCTGCAAACAAGTTTGGAAAATATTCCTTTATACGAAACAAGAACATGGTTCAAAGTATAAATGTGAAGCTCTAAATGACAATTATGAACTGTTCTGATAGCACACAAGAGATTTGATTAGGAAGTGTGAGATACCATATAAGTTGGATGGAATATCTAATGCCTAGAAGGTAATAGAGGAAAGCCTTACAAAGGAGAACTATGGGAGCAACATTAACATTTACAAGTAAACCTCTCACTTCATATTATTTAAAAAATATCATACTCCAATTTTGCTCGGTGAAAAAGTATCCATAAGAAGCTTTAGAGCCATCTCAATTCCAATTACCAAAACAATCACTTACTTTTCTTAAAAAAATACATGGTCCCATAGTATGACCTAGTGATATTAATTGACTTAAAAATTAGACGATACAAGTCCTTGACTCCCTAGTTGGTTTACATAATTATAATTGTAATTAGCATGTTTAAAATTTAAATGCGTAGTAAAATTAATAGGCTACATACTTGTAGCCTTCCTAGTCACTTCTTAATCTCAACTTTCAGGGTCATTTCAGGATATGTAAACAGACACCCATGGAAAGTTGACAAACTCGCAAATAAATGAGATCCCTAGTCACTTCTTCTACCCTAAGAAAGCACCTACTATCAGTTTTATCTGCTGATAAACAAATGCTCATGGCATGTAAAGTCTACACTATGAAGAATCAAGAACATAGGATTCAGAACATGATTGGAAAAGGTGACAAGTTTCATGTCCTAACTATATGTATGTATGTACGTATGAATATATGGGTGTGCGTGCGTGCATAAATCCACCCAGTCTGATACATGCACCCCCGATTGAAGTCAAACACAGAGGAAGACATAAGTCGTCCAACACGAAAATGACTCTATGTCGACCGCCATTTGTGACGAATAACAAAATTCTTGACGAAACAGTGAGAGAGTAGTAAATAACAACAGGTACTTCCGAAGAGATAAAATGAAACTATAAGAGCGTGGTGAAAGCATATTACCAGTCTCAATGTCAGTATCAGGGCCTTCATATATCTGGTTCTGGAAGGACGCGGGACCGATAGTCTCATAGTGACCGTACTTATTTTCATCCTTCACCCAGTCAGTTGAATAGCACTGCACCAGCTCATTGAGATGAGGCCACTGCTCCAAATTCTCCTCAAACTACACAGAAGCGAGAATAGAACGAAGCAAGAGAGAAAGTAGAAGTCAATTTCGAAGCTCGGGAGGAGAGAAGGAGAGAGGAGAAGCAGCATTTACCTTGTTGTGCCATTTGATGGAGGCGGGAGTGGGATCTCGGCGATGTAGGAGATGCATTGTGGTAGATCTAGGGTTTTGGGAGAAGGTTCGGAGGTGGAGAAGTAGGATAAGAAGAAAATAAAAATGGAGTTGAGAAGTCTCTTTCAAATTTGGTATCTGAGAAGTGGAACAAACTACAATGGCGTAGTTGGTAGATCTAAAGTCAATAGGAAGAAGAGAGAGAAAAAATGTAAGGAGGAGGCACCAGCCAGAAGCAGCAGCAGAGCTCGGCTCAAGGCATTCCAGCAGAAAGAGGGCAAGTGCGGTACAGTATAGTGGGAGTGGGAGTGGGAGTGGGAGTGAAGGGTAAGGTAAGGCGTCCAGAGTAGAGAAGGACAGCGAATCTCGGGGGCATAATAATCGTTTAATGAGGGATTCGGACCCTCCGTCTACGGGCCTTGGTTTTTTGTTTCTTCTTTTCAAGTTTGAACTGCCTTTTTTTTAGCTTCTAAGAAAAGCAAATATTATATTAAATCCTCTTCTTTTCTCTCTCGAAATGCTTCTGTTCTGTTCCCAACAACTAATACACGTTACTACGGCCTACGCCCAACTGCCTCAAATACAGCCCACCATCTCCATACTTGCTTTAGCAGCCCACGCCAGCCCGAGCCCCCACTGGGTCCCAGCCGCTCCCAATCCCATGTTCCCCCATTCCTCTTTTCTTTTTCTTATTTTTTGATTACTGTTCTTCCCATTGATGGTCAAATCAAGTACAAACATGTGATCCTTCGCACGTGTGTTCGCCCATGTTGAGAACAAGGAAGAGGGATTATCACGTCAAATAGCAGAGTTGGACTCAACTCTATCATAGGAGAAGATTTACTTATATGAAATTTGCAGACAGCCGACTAAACGTCAGTTTTACCTATGTTATTATGAAAAAATATTTACTTAATGACATTTATGGCACTGATATCGAAGAGCTACACTTACCAATGCTCCCCTTATAAAAAGGCTATCGACTCCGACACCAATTCAAACTAAGTTATAACTTATGCTTTGAAGCGTACAAAGTTCAATGATACCGAATCTCTTGCCGTTGGCTTGACACCAACTCATCAACTCATATTAAACTATAACTTAAGTTTTAAAATATAGGTGTTGATGTAAGATTTTACTTGCAAGTTATCACAAAACTCCCACCACTACTATTGATTCAAATGCACTTTTCAGAATAGGTTGAGCAAATAGTAAATAATAGAGATTTTTTTTATTTTTGCACGCCTCTGCTAAAAACATTATAATTAACTAGGTGAATTATGCTGGAAAATTTAGTAGATCCCAAAACTAAATGTTCATAAGTATCAATTATCTTCAAAAAGGTATCGTCTATATCGTTCACCAGTTACTATGTATTTATTTCCTCCTTAAGTGCTTTAGTATCTTTCTCAACTTGAGAGCTAAGTGGAAACAATTTGGAGCATAAAGAGACACGCAAGATATTTCACCAAATCAAGACTCTAACAAAGGATTTTTCAATACAAAAATTGTGGCCATCATGGATATAAACCAGTTGTCAAAAGGGTTCATTGTAACAAAGTCAGTTACTTCATCATATTACTAAAAACAGTTTGAGGCAGAAAACTAAAAATAATTAAAATAAATAAACAAATAATCAATGGCATCTCAAGTTCCAGATGCTGCGAAACGTATGCAGTGTGTATTTAGGAGCAACCCATGGCCATATAATTATTGAATACCAAAGCATGTCTTAGCCAAGCAGTTTTTACAACTGGAATGACGAGGAACATGGTCATGCATCCCCATTGGTACACAAAATTGTGCTTTATATATCACAAAAGAAAGAAGCATGTGGGACTACTTTGCACTGTCATTTGGGGAATTGAAGTTGAAGCTTTAAATGATAAGTTGTATCTGTAACAGATGCCTGCCCATCTGTCTGTAGAAAAATAGCTATCCCTTGTGCAAAAGCAAAAGAACCTGTCCCCCCTACCACCGCCAGTTCTCTATTCTCATGTCCAATATGCTTGGCGTGCACGCTCAGGCTGCCTGAATATTCCGGTGTGTCGAAACTGAGATAGATGACATTGAATGAAGAATGAGCAAACTGTTCGTTAGGAATAATGAAACCTCGAGCATTTCCAACAATCCGGGAAGTGTTCTCAGGTCCCTCCGTGAGCGTTCGTAGGAATACGAAAACCCCAGAATCGGATCTTGGTACGGGCTGCATATTGTTAGATTTAGCATTTCCTGTAGAATGTGGCTGCTGAATGTAGAGGGACAGGTCCGCCCACGATGGTTTTCTGCCGTGCTTCGACTGCTTTTTGTTGGGGACCGGCGAAAGCAGAGCCAAAAGAATAACAACTAGGAAGGCCAAGCATACCGCAGCGCAGAAAATAATTCTAGTCTTCATCATGAATTGAAAAGGCCGACTCTTTCAAAAATGTACCTTATACAAATAACTTGCTCACTCTGTCAAAAGTTTAGGCCAACTAATTCAACTTTTAAGTCTTGCACCTAATCCATCAGTCAGTAGTCACCATGTTATCCATGAAGGGTCGCTATTTCAAAAGAACACCTTTTTTGAAAGGCCAATCTTCCAAAAGGATTTGGTGTGCCGCAGATAACAAATCCACCACTAAATCCAGCGACTTTAAGTCAGTCCTGCTTATGCTGCAATATGAGGTAACCGCTTTGACGTGTTCATCCTGGCGCAGAGACCATGAATATGCCCTTATTGGTACATTGGAACGATGGTTTTGATCCAGATGAAAATATGGGTTTCATCATTTTGATGGAGCTTAAGTGATTGAAATATGCTAATTTTAGATCCTCATCAGAATAAATAATTCAATTGGATGCCCTTATGTTCACAAGCAAGGAACTGTCCCATTCTGAAACAAAATGCACAGTGATCTAACACAGCAAAAATGCATTATGATGTCATTTCTGCAATACAAAGCCAGGTAAACCGGTGGCTTACAGGAGGAATTCTGCCATATATACAAAGTCTTCAACCAAATTAAGTACATGGAATAGACGATAGATGGGCAAGGTTGGCCTTTTGTGTGTAACTCACTCACTCTATTCTATATATGGGCAGTGTAGAGAACTGCCAGGAAAAGATTTCAGGCAAGGAAAGTTTCGGAAATTTGAAACTGCGGTGCAGCAGAGAAGTGAAGGTTATACACAACAAAAGTCTAATCTGAGTCAAGTTTCATGATTAACTCCTTTAATGCTCTACCTTCCAGCCAGTGTCACTTTTTCCTAAGATTCAAAACGTGGGCATTGAACACACATATCCTCGAAAGAACTGGCCAATAAGCAGGTAGCCGACATGATTGAAGGAAGAGACTGTGACTCTCGAACTGATATATTATTACCCCGCTTATTAATCAGTAAGACTGCTACCCCTGCATCCTGATAAATCCCAGACCAAGTTGAAATAGATTCAAAATAATTGAGCAGGAGAAAAAGAAAACTAAAACCAAGCTGACTTTAGAAAACAATAGGCATAAATATATCTCACCGAGTAATTACCTTCCACAGGGACGTGAAGAGAAATGAAACGCATATGTTGTTGTTTCCACTTTTCATCCATTGGTTGACAAAGCATCCTCGATTTTCCTAATTACAACACTGAGACTGCTTCCACTTTCCAAAGCTTTAACGGCAACTTGGTGTGCATGTTTGTGCCACTTCAGCAGATTGTAAGATTGTAGAACAGCCCACCTTGCTTGATTTGACATCTATAAATTGAAAATGCCATCAGAAGTCAGAAAAGAGGTCAATATATCTGCATATTGGAAGACATTAGATTGAGAAAAACCTGCGCAACAGATAGTGGCGGTTGCAAAAGAATGCAGATACTTCTAAACAAATTTTCATCATTCTCTCCACCCTCTGCTTCACCGTAAACAAGAGCTTCAGCTGCAATGCCCGCAAAAAGGATCATGCAGTACCTGACCACAGTCACAACCCGAGGGTATTGCCCAGTTAGTTACCATATACAGAGTTTCAGATTAAAAAAGTTGGGGTTCATGTGATCCCTACAAACTGTCCCATATCTTTCCTTATTATATAGATCAACTTTTTGAAGGCTTATATAAGGCTCCGGAAGCAGAATGAAGTACAAATATAAAGTAGTGTAGGGAAAAAAATGGATGAAAAATATGCTGCCATTGATAATGAATGCACACAAGAGATGCAAATTGCTATTTAAGCTCTTTTTTGGATTGATAATAGTATAATAGGGGAAGCGATGGAAAAAGTTGGGATCTTTTTTCAAATGCGGCTATTTAACAAGATCACCTGTCAAAAGAAGTACCATCCAAACGTCCTTCAGCAAGGTTGCTTGCCATTTTTTCATCCCAAAACTGGGTACCTGCCTATTAAATTCAAAACAAAAGGACTCATTAGTACAAAAACAAAGATTTCACATTTAGCCATCCAGAATATGAGATAATCTGCTCGTTATCCAATGTATTATTGAGTTAATTTTATTGTATTATTTTCCTTTATTTACAAAGCCACCAGTTTGATGCATAACCCACATGAATCTCATATTAAAAAAATTTCAATTACCGTCATTTTAAGACCATATTCTGGGTTTTGAAATGCATATGAAAGGTTTGTTTACCTGTCCCTGTATCCCCATTTGCATGGCAACAATTGGATCCAAAATAACTCCACGAATTGGGCAACCCATGAGATAAGCTGCAATAGGGTATACGGAACTTTTAACAACATTCAATAGTTTGTGCTTGCATAATTGCATGAACAACTATTCCAAGTAAACAGCATATGAAAAATTGGTAGAAATGGCCGTAGATTTCTATACGATTCTATATTAGTTAGTGGAGCATACCAGTCAGTAGATGTCCAGCTTCATGTACAAGGATTCGACGCCTATATGGTGGCCAATAGCTAGAGATTTGCGCTAGACACGTACCACCAAGGAGGATAGAGTCCAAAAATGCAAGCCCCAGCAGTGCCAAAAGGTTCGGCCTAATATCAATGTCCCGTGAGAGCAGAAATGATGTTCCACCAAGAAAGGCAATCAAAGCGTAACTAGAGCTGCCTGAAAGACCCCACTTCTTTGGAGACAACTTGGTCACTGGAATAACACAGGAGGCAAGAAAAATAAAAGTAAGTGATTGGTAGAATATGAGAATGCAGTTTCAAGGTCTACAACTGAAAAATAAAAGCAGAGATCTTTCAAGGCACCTTGTAATCCAGTCGAAGATTCCAACACAGATGGTGTGACGTCTCTTCGACCCTCCAAAACTGCAGGGATGGTCAGTTCATCAGTATGAAATATGCTCCAATAAGTATGAAAGTGGTGGATAAAGCCGTAAGAGAGAATAATTTCGCAGTTCCCATGCCTCTTCACCCAAAACTTTCTTCATGAAATTCGAAGTTAACAGATGGGAACTAATCTCCCAAGATAAACTACTTCTTTTCCCAATTTGATGTCAACAGAAACACGAGAAAAATGCGATAAACATTTAACGCTAATGAAATAAATTCAGGATTATGACAATGAAAGGGGTTTACCAATGTTCCTGCATTTTCCAAAATTGGGCAAAAATCCTCTATCCCTGAGAAACCCATAAGCATTGGCAACAAGCTTCATATCATCCGCATTCAAACAAGTGTCGAGTACCTCCCAGTCCCGCTCCCAGCCAGACAACCGTGGATTTCGAAGAGCGGACGGAGCTGAATCAGCAGCGGCTGAATCATTAACGGGTTCGATTGCGCTATCTCTGTCAAAGGACTCGAGAAACCTAAGAGCTTCTGCGAGGTCCTTGCGCTTCACTGCCTCTTCGTAGTCTTGCCATTCACGAAGAGCTCTGGGCAGATGGAGGAGACGCTGAAGGCGTTCTAAATGGAAATGTCTAGTGATTCCACGAGGGGTTTTTTGCAGGAAATGGAAGGAAATTTGGTGCCGAAAAGGTTGGAAATAGAGAGAAGAAGAGGAAATCTGGAGTTTGGGAGGACTCGGGATAGCCATGAGACGGAGTAGGTGCAAAAGTGGAGTTTTTGAGAATCTGGGGAACTCGTCAAAATAGAGGAGTTTTACTTTTACACGAAGGACTGGGTTAAGTTAAGGGGCCGTGGACCATGGAACGATGTGTCGTTTTGGTCCATAAGGCCATAACCGACCGGTTGCGGTGGTAGAAATAGAAGGCAGACATTCAAATCAAATCAACCAACAACGCTGCAGCTGCTGGCTCTTCCTGTCAACTCGTGGCTCCTGAGCGAGCATGTCTAAATGTTCCATCATATTACTTCGCTTGTAAACCAATCTGGATAAGGATTGATTTAGTTTTAGTGATGGATATTGGCTTTTTACTTCTCATCAACTGTTTCTCAACTTTCAACCATCTGGAGTTGTTGTGTGACTGTGGGCGATGTGCAGTGGTTCAAACCTATATATTGTTCCTCTGCTCGGCTCATTCTGTGGATAATCCTGGTGGTGGTGAAGCATAGATAGAGATAGATACAGGGCTCTAATTCTGGTACGTTTACCACTTGGGTTTAGATTCGTTCTTCATCTGGATCTGGTGGATTTAGATTAATTTGTGATTGACTGATTTCTTATTATTCACCCTTCGCATTTTGCTCTTCCATAACGAAGCAAATACGGCCCGGTTTGGTAGATAAAATTCAACAATGTTTGTTTATGCAATCCGAACAGACCATTTGCAGCCTGATTGATACGTTGTGTGGCATAGACGATGTCGACTTTTGTTGGGTAATTTGTGGTGGGAGCAAAAAAGGAAAGGAGCATTAACAATGGCCACAACTTTCCATTTGACTTCCAATTTTCTTCGAATCTTCTTTGGATTATTCCCGACGGCAACCTCCTCGGTATGCGAGAGTTGTGGGGAGGGGAGATGAGGTAAGCCATCACGGGTGATGACCATCTTTTTTGTTAATTAATGGAATGGAGCATGCTATCGAATCGTATTTGAATTGGACAATATTTTATTATTATTTACGTATTAAATCATTGTAAATTGGTTGGAATATATATATTTATGCCATATTCAAATTATTATTTTACGTAGAGCATTAATATAAAATTAAAATAATTAAAAGAAAAACAGTCAATATACTAGAAATTAAAATTAAGATTTTATCAAGATAAAAAGATTAAAGAGGTAGAACTATAACCAAAGATAATAATGTAACAGATCTCATCTTATTAAAGCATATATCTTGTATCAAAATGTTAGATCAATTCAAATATAACTTAATTAGTTTAGAAAATGATTTTTGACTTAAAAATCGTAAGTTTGAATTCGTATAAAAATAATTCATATATATGTTTATGTCATGCTAAAAAAAATAAAACAGGAAATGAAATAAAGGAAGACGAAAATTAAAATTAAGAAAAAGGAAAAACAAATGGAAAAGAAAACAAAAACAACCGTTTCAAAACCGGGGTTTTACAGAGACCACAGAGAGACGAGACCACCGTATTGTGTTCGCAGACCCCCGACTCCAKCAATAGGTCTAAAATCTAAATCCCAGCCCGCCGCTGATCTCCACTCCGCGCCACGTGTACGCTTCCTTTCCCACTTTCCCTTCTATAAATTCCTCCTCCACCCTTCCCCATTTCCCGTCTTTGCTTCACCTCACTCTTCACCGCTTCTCTCATTTCTCATCTTCTATTGTCTCGTAAGTTCCACCAATCCCATCTCTGAGTTTCTCTTAAATGGGGTTTTCTTTCCGATCCGTGATTTTCTATGTGATTTTCCTAGGCGATTGTTATGGCTACCAAAAGGAGCGTTGGTACTCTGAAGGAGGCTGATTTGAAGGGAAAGAGGGTGTTCGTGAGGGTCGATCTCAATGTTCCTTTGGATGACAACTTCAACATCACCGATGACACCAGAATCCGTGCTGCTGTGCCTACCATTAAGTATTTACTCGGCCATGGTGCCAGGGTCATCCTCTCCAGCCACTTGGTGCGCTACTTCTCCTCTTTCCCTCTTTCGCATTCTCGCAAGATCTATCTATTTGGCATGTTCTCCCGAGTTCTACTTTGGGTTTGCTTCGATCTTTGCATTTTACAGCATGCCCGACAATCGTAACTTTCGATCCTTTGTTTTCAGGAAAGGCCATCATCCCTCTCCCCATTTTTATCATCTTTTTTGGTGGATTTAGATAAACTTGAAAAGGAATATTGCGATTTTGGATAATGTACAATTCGATTGTATTGTCATACGTCATATGCACGATTCAGCTTTTTGGATCTAATATTCATTATGCTCAATATTGGAAAATTCATTGACATGCAGTGTAAAGATCAACGTTGATTATTGTTAGTTAAATTTTCAGTGATCTGCGCCTTTCTTCTTCCGTAAACTTTGGAGTGACGCTGCGTATTTGATTGCGATCGATTAAGATTATGATCTTTACTGAACTGAGGTCGCTTATTGTGTTCAATTTCATGTTAGCATCACTGTTCGATTTGTTTTCAAATTTGCATTATTTTTCATTTTGTCTATTCCCTGAGCTCATTTTGTTTTTTATTATTGTGGTCTTTCAGGGGCGCCCAAAGGGCGTAACGCCGAAATACAGTTTGAAACCTCTTGTTCCCAGGCTTTCTGAGCTCCTCGGAGTTCAGGTATGGCGCCTAAATTTCGTAGAAATATTTGTTTGGGATTTGTGTTTATATGTGATGACAACGTTATCCCTTACTAAAATTTTGTCCCCTCCCCCCACAATAGGTGAAAATGGCCAATGATTCTATTGGCGAGGAAGTTGAGAAGCTGGTCGCTGAATTGCCTGAGGGAGGTGTATTGCTGCTTGAAAATGTGAGGTTTTACAAGGAGGAAGAGAAGAATGACCCCGAGTTTGCCAAGAAGCTGGCTTCCCTCGCGGATCTCTATGTTAACGATGCCTTTGGAACTGCTCACAGGGCTCACGCTTCCACAGAGGGTGTGGCTAAGTTCTTGGAACCGTCTGTTGCTGGTTTCCTTATGCAGAAGGTTTGTTGCACGCTCTATGGCCTTTCTTGTTGTGCGTCAAAATGGACATTAACTCTCTAAACGTCAATGGACATTAACTCTCTAACCGTCATGTTTGTTCATTAGTTTTTAGAAGATGACTGATTGCAACTGATGATTCCTTTGGTTCAGGAACTTGACTACCTCGTTGGAGCTGTGGCTAATCCCAAGAGGCCATTTGCTGCCATTGTTGGTGGTTCAAAGGTGTCTTCAAAGATTGGAGTGATTGAATCCTTGTTGGAGAAGGTCAACCTTCTTGTCCTGGGTGGAGGAATGATCTTTACCTTCTACAAGGCGCAAGGTCACTCAGTGGGGTCATCGCTTGTTGAAGAAGACAAGCTTGGCCTTGCTACTTCGCTCATTGAGAAGGCAAAATCCAAGGGGGTGTCTCTTTTGCTCCCAACCGATGTAGTCATAGCAGATAAATTTGCTGCTGATGCTAACAGCAAGGTTCGTAGTTTTGCTTTTTCCAATTGAATATAGCTTTAACATTCATGGAGAGTAGTCGGTAAGAATTTCATCCATAATTTCAGACTGTGGCCGCATCAAGTATCCCAGATGGTTGGATGGGGTTGGATATTGGACCTGATTCTATTAAGAGCTTCAGTGAAGCATTGGACTCTACCCAGACCATTATTTGGAATGGGCCTATGGGAGTGTTTGAGTTTGAGAAGTTTGCGGCTGGAACGGAGGTATGAACATTGGACCAGCTATTTGTTATATATCGATGTTCTTCTGTGGCATGTGTATGTACTCAGTGTTGGGTTGATTTACGCTCATGTGCAGGCAATTGCAAGGAAGTTGGCAGAGCTGAGTGGGAAGGGGGTGACCACCATAATTGGAGGAGGCGACTCTGTTGCGGCTGTTGAGAAGGTTGGGCTTGCGGATAAGATGAGCCACATCTCCACTGGAGGCGGTGCCAGCTTAGAGCTTCTTGAAGGAAAACCGCTTCCCGGGGTCCTTGCTCTCGATGATGCTTGAGCTCTCGCCGTTTTCCCTGTGTTATATCGTAAAGGTTGTTCAACCTATGAGGATTTCTCGAGCTTGTCTTTTTATTTGAGAAGAGGTTGTAGTTATAGGATAGATTATTCCAATAAGTCTCAAATTCTCCTCTGAACATATGGTCCACGGTATTGGATTGGATCATTTTTTTCCGTCGATTTAAAATGTTGAGTTTGATGCTGATGCCTGCTGCAGTCAGGCTTTTTAACCAGCAATCAATCGCCTTTTGTTCACGAGTGAGTGTTTATGGTCTGATTCAATCTGTGAATGCTTCAACTTCAACTATATAAGCAAGATTTCTTATTAGATGAAGTTTAGGCTGTCGGTTGCCGCTTTAATAAGATATAAATCTGGCGTGTGGCGACTTCGCCTGAGATGATGAAAACATTACCCCCTTTTCAGCTAATACCTGTGAATGAATGAGTTCAAGAAAAGATTCACCTTGTCTCTGGTAGCTACCTAACCGGTCCCTTTTCTGTAGGTGGTAACTTAAACGAGATTACATTAAATGGTGGAAAACAAATATGTGTATTTATGAAAAGATCGGTACTTTTTAGATTATTTTGAAAAAGGTCACAAATTTGTAGGTTTAATTTTTTTGTTTTTTTGTTTTGCTAAAATTTAAAACCTAATGCTAAATTAAAAGACGTTAAAGATCATGTAATTAAAAGGACAAAAAAAAAAGTGGCAAAAACAGGCCTCTTGCACCTTAGCAAAGGGATAAGCTTTATATGGGGTGGTGGTTCGAGCAATTTAGTGTGATAATCAATGAGTAAGGAAGGGAAAATCAAATCTCCTTTCAACTTCCAAAACAAGGAAATACATTCCTTTCTTTCAGAAAAAGAAAGAGAAAAAAAAAGGAATTTCATGATTTTTAAAAGGGAAGGAAATAAAAGATATTGCCATCTAAATATAAAATAAGTACAAAATTAAGCATGTATCGTGCATTCCCTTATTATATTCTTCAGCAAGGACACTTTAGGTAGAGACTACATTTCTTTGGTCGTCGGAGGGGAAGAGAGTAACTGACTCTGCATTGTTTCCTATTTTGAATTTTCCTCCAAAGGAAATCTTGACTCATTTGTATTGTCTTGTTGACTCAATTCATTCACATTTATGGTTTTTATATTCATAGTTTAATTTACGTTAAAAAACACATTTGGTACCTATACTTTCACTAAAATAGCAATTTAGTCCTTGAACTTTAGTTTGTAACGATTTAGTCCATGTACTTTTCCTAAAGTAACAATTTAGCCCCTGAACTTTAACCTATAATGATTTAGTCCATGTAGTTTAAAATTTGTATCAATTTAGTACCTATCGTAAATTTTTTTATTAAAATTAACTGTCAAATTTTATCATATAACAATTTAATCTTTCTAATTTATAAACATATTTGGTCCCTTTTTAGTTTATTAATTTATACATATAAGAAACTTAACAAAAAAAAATTCACGATAAGTATTAAATCGTTATCAACTTTAAATTAAAATGACTAAATTGTTACATATTAAAGTCCAAAGACTAAATTGTTACCAATTTGAAAATACATGGACTAAATCGTTACAAACTAAAATTTAGGGACTAAATTGTTACTTTAGCGAAAGTACATGGACTAAAAGTATTTTTTAACCTTTGATTTATTGGTATTTTTGGTCAAAAATACTAATTCTAATGCTATTTTTTAGCTGCAGCGTGAAAATTTGATTCTCCATTAAAAGAAGAAAGTAAAATGTCATTTACTAATAATTCGTTAAAAATGAAAATGTGAGAACCAAAGCATTTGAAAATTTTGTTGGGGCTTAATGGTTTTTGTGGTTGACATGAGTTTTTGACAAATATCAAAGTTTTTCTCAAGTAAAAAAAAGCATACAGTTGGATGTGATTTCTCAACTCACACGTAGCATGTTATGATTGAATGTTCAGCAGAACACATGGCTCCGCTTATCAAGAAGTTTGTTTACTCACTTCGGTCATGAATTCTCATGTCGAGCCGACCTTCTTCAAACAATCAAACCGACCAAATAAGTTTACTTGGACCACTTCAACTCAGTCTATTATCCGACAGACTTCGCGACATCACGCCGCACTTCACAGTTATCTTAAAGAGCCGTTAAGGTCTTGTCGGGGACTTCGCCTATAAATAGAACTATTAAGCTTCATTTTGAAGTACACGAACCACCCAATTTTCTCTCAAGAGTTGATTTGGACATTCATTGACTTTGACATCGGAGTGCTTACTCTGTCTTACGTCTTTTGCGCGGTATCCGAAACTCATTATCCAGCTCATCCTTGTCGATTCTGATCAAACATGTTCAATGGAATCACCACAATGTGACTACCCTTAGTAATCTCTTTGGAGGTAGATTCTTCAAATAACCATCAAATGCAATTTTTGAAATATATTTATAATTTCCAATAATTTCTCCTATTGAGGCCGTTTACTTGGTGTTGATTTCAAGAACTTACTATTAAGTTATTCGACATCATGTAAAGCCGTAAACTGCTTGAAAAACTTGTCTATGGTTCGCTTTCAATTTGAATATCAAAACAATCTCTGAATTACAAAAATTGTTATCAGTTATCACAACAGATTAGGAATGATTCAAGAAAAGAAATAAGTTTGCATAGAGAAGAAAACATTGGGAAAAAGAGGAAACGGTGACGGGGAAGAAAAATATATTGCATATCATGAAAGCGGGGTGTTCCTTTAATTTCACTACATTCATATTGCCAAATTTTCTTTTATTTCCTGGTTAAAAAATTTTTACTTTAACCACCGGAACATAGTTAACTCGTTAAGAGACCTACCTCTAAGGGAGCAAATTCCCATACGTAAAAACTTTGGCTCTAATTTCTAATTTTTTTTATCAAGAGTTATACTTCATCAGTACAGAAAACCCAAAGAAAGGCACTGCTGTGCTGACACTGAAATATAGTGGTTGGCAAATGAATGAAAAGAATTTATGGAACAGATTTGTTTTGTAATATTCCTGCACTGTACAAAAAAAAAAACTTCCAAGTGCAGTTTAGTCGTGTGGATGAATGAATATCCTGCTTCCACCCTCTGCTTGTCGCGATGATCAACTGATGACGAACAACTTACAGATGAAAACAGATGGAGAGGTAAATGTCTGCTTTACATGACGGAACAGCTCCCTTGAGTGCCACTAAGGTAAAATAACCATTACTGTATTAGTCATGAAAGTGAAGAAAACTAAAGATTAAATAGAGGGAGTTGTTCAGAAAGGTCTGACATTTTAGTGTCTTCGTAGCTGCTCAGTGCTTCCTCGAATTTGAGCCAAAGAGGGCCTGGTTCTTGAAGATCCACATTTTGCGGCCCAGATATGTAAGCCTGAAAAACAAACTGTCGAGTTCGTTCCCTGATCACAACTACCATGTTAGATGCAATACTTGGAAGAAAAATGTTTCCATACTTGAGTGGAGATTTTCATCATAGAAGAAACCAACCTCCCTTCATATTCAGATAACCAAACAAAGTAGGCAGCACCGAAATACATGGACACAAATGGCTTGGTTAAGTCGTCAGCAGAATCAAGTCTATACGCTCTGTGGCTCAATTCCCTACCCACCAACAATAGATTAACATAATGATGTAACATTCTAGCCCACAGTAATACAATAAGTAAACATATGCTGATAATGTTTTTTAAAAATTGGTTCAACATTCACATACATATAAATCCAAAATGCAGTTGAATAGTCGATCCCCATTATTCCAGGACGTCCTCCAGCTCCATTAATGAAGCGCATGCTAACTATCTCAGCCAGAGCACAGAGAACCGTCTGTGCACCAATAAATACTCAAACAATAAATAATTTTGGGAAGAATGTTAAATTGAACAAAAGTTCAGAAGAACGAGTTACATGGTCCAGGAGGAAATTGAAAAGAATTGTGAAAGTTCAATACTTCCAAGAGCTCTCATTCCAGGATTATTTTTCAAACTAGTGTTGAACTTTTATATGAATGATTCATCAACACAATATTCCTTTCAGGTGTACATGCATAATTTAAGTGACAGACGTTGAATGTGCGTGGAAATCCAGAGTTATTATGTATTTTCTTATCAACAGTAAAGCATGTGTATTAACAATTATGATTGAGTTTTCGTTCGGTGGAAAGTCTTCATGTTGGCCATGTTTCATTGCTTTTCATGGTCTCCCATTGCTAAATATGTTTCTAATCATACTCCTTCCATTCTACATTCAAATTGGAGAGCTTGGGTGAGGTCTGTTCAGTAGGGGTTTGGTTTTTCATCCATTGGTTTAGTTTGAAATATGGGTGACTTTTATCCGTGAGTGTTTCGAGCCAACTTGTTTACACCTCGACTAATCTCAGAAGACAACCTGACCCTAGCTATCAAGGAAACTCGTAGAATATTAAATCCTAAGTAGGTGGTCATCGAACTCATTTCCTCTAAACTCATTATTATTTCATTGACCCTTATTGACCCCTAGGTCAACCTATGATAGTTACAATTGACATTTTTTTAATCGATAGATGTGTAAATAATAAATTTTTCCAGCTCCCGTCCTCATTTTGTGGACAAACACTAAAGAAGATGAATAAGTATCAAATGAAACAAAGAAAAGTATTATAAAAGACATCACAGTCCAAAGGAAAGTACAGGATGAAATGGCCACTAGAGACTTACTGGTTGAACTCCTTTTGTACTGAAATGTTTTGAAAGAATGATCTCAGCAACGGCCTGCAAGACAATGACAATTAGAATGGGGATTTTTTTTTTTTTTCAAATTTAAAGCACTCATTAGCTTATTTCACACAAGAAGTTAAAGCAATCGGGTGCATGCAAGCTATAAAAGGATGCACAAATACACAAATGTAAAAGATAAACACAAAAATATTCACATATTATTTCACTGGTTGATAGCAAGCTTATGAAAGAAAACTTCAAGGTCTCTACTCTTCATTAAGAAAATTTAATGATTAGATCACTGTACGAGGAATGTGACTACAACATATTTTGTTGTAATTGGTGACTAGATCACTGCACATCTGAACAGAAATAAAAGCAACTATCCCACAAATGTAGGCAGAATGAAAAATATAGTAAACCAGAACAACAAATAAGTACTCTTATGATGCGTAATAGTCTTATTAATTTATACCTTCAATTCTACTCGGGAAAGATAGGGTCTCTTTTTTGCATCATGAGAAAACCGTACGTTGCCCTTTTTCTCTCCAGATTTAGTCCACTCTTTTAGAACATCAGGATTATTCCACATCTCTTCCATGTCCTCAGGAGTAGCTCGAGAATCCCAAAATGTATAAATAATAGCTGCACCCTCTTTAAGATGAGAAAAAGGACTGTCATCTCCAAGAAATGCAAATACACTTGGCGAGATGAACCATAGAAGAGTAATGAACAGGGATCAAAGTACCAAGAATCAACCACACTAATCATGTATGTATGATAGGGTGCCTCTATTAAGTTCAACTTCTTGCTGCTTGCTTTTCTTTTTCCCCATCGATTATCATTTGATTCTTCTCTCTCGGGAGGATCATTCTATGATATGAGCATACGGCATAATGGCAATGTTTTTTTAATTTAAAATGTCCCCCTTTATCTTTTTGGTGGTAATGAAGGGTTAGAATTACTTTATTACAATGAAGGGTTTTGAATAATCGTTACTTCCATCACGTTTACAAAAAGAGAACCCTTAGTACTTTCTTTTTAGTCCAAAAGAGCTAC